TCCACATTTGGGGCTTCCTTTAGAGTGATATGTCACAAGTATGAATCCCAAACTGATTGTTTAAAAACGATTCTTCCTAAACTAAAATAGCATTTTGAGCCATGCCCTCCAGAACAAAAAGGCACTGCAATGCCATTCAGACATCTATCTCAATAATGAAAGACCAAATTTTTTTCTTGCCAAAAATACATTTTCAAAGGCAGCATGTAGCGTAGATGTCCGGCTGCTCGTTGTTGGGACAGAGAAAAAGGACGGAGTGAGCGGTTTTCTTTGCAACTGAGCTCTATGGAAGTAAAAAATGTCTAGGACAGATTCATGTTCAGTCTCTGCTGGAACAACTGGAACCTCAGAGACACAAACTAAATGTGACGGATAAAGAAACTACACAGTTTATGCCACAAATAGATCAGGCAGAGAGTTGATAGTCAGACCATTGGGAAGGCAAGGGCTGTTGTTTGGGAGCATAAAGTTTATCGGGTAGGAAATGCTTTCTTTCGATAAGTACCTGACTGGACGAGCTTGAATTTTGAGCCAAATTAAGGAGAAAATGTTTGCCAGCAGATGGTGTTTGAGCATTTTAACACATGTAGCATTAGCTTCAATGAACTTTTTATGGCTGAAGAACATATTTATAGCAACAAACTCCTTAAGGACTTTTAATGTTTTTTGAAATACCTCACCACCAGCCATTTCCCATGGTGATGAATTTTCTACAGTCAAAATAGAGTCGCTTTTAAATCCCCCCACAGAGTGCCGGTTTGCTAGTTGTCTGCTGAATCAGACAGCACTTATCCTGACTTCCTCCACTTCACGAGATTAGCTTAAATATAAATATTCACTTAATGAAGTCAGAGTCAGGCTGGAGACTTTGCATACTTTTATCTTGGTTGGACAGTTTATCATGCAGCGATGCCCGGATTCAGCATCCAAGACAAAATCAGTAATAAAAAGAGCAAAATATTGCTCTGTTTCTTTCTTTATGTATTTTTAATTTCTCCTTTTTGGTAATGGAAATTAACAAAACCTTCGTAAGCTGCGAACCTGAACAGAAATTAAAAGAGAAGGCTGTAAAAAAAAAAATATTATACTCCTTATTTTGTATATCTCAGTCTTCAATAGATGTGAAAAGTTACCTAATCCGGAGAAATCGAGTAAATATACAACACAACAGACACTTTTCTTGTATTTTCCAATAAAGCTCTTCAGGCTGCAGGCAAAGAATTTGACTTACCAGCATCCAGGCTGCGCAGGACCTCCCCTCTCGCGTCGATGCGTGCGCAAAAGTTTCTCCAAGCTCAGGCCTCCAGTGCGCCGCGTTTTATACGAGCATCCAAAGCTCCGCGCACAGCTCATTTACCTGCTGTCGGTGATTATTAGACAGATTGCAGGTGGAAAAAGACGCATCATCCTTTCAGCTGATGCGGATCCGCTGTTGTCGGATAGTCCGGGCTTGGGTTACGGCTCTTTCAAAGTTAAGTTTGAAATCCAGCCGTGCTCCCTTTGTCCTCTCCATACATTATGGAGGAGGCGCAGCCGGCCAGCAGAGGCTCATCGCTCTCCGCGCCCTCCGCTGCTCCTCAAGCTTCTCGGGTTACTCCGGAAAAAAAAAAAGACTTGACGTTTATACGATCTTTTTCTTTTCCGAATAAAATATTTCCACAGTTCTTCACAAAAGGGGCTATTTTTTTCCTCTTTCATTTGCACTGCGTAACGCAAATATTATAACCTTTTACGATTTTAAATCCAGACCTATGAATAAGTTCGCAAATTGAAAGAGCAATCCAGCCCTTCATATTTGCTCTTAAAGTACATTTTTTTAAATCTGCATAGAGAGAGGTTGAAATAATAAAACACTCGGGGATGAGCTCTAATTACTGAGAGTGGCTGTCTAGCCAAATTAAACACTGATGTTGCAACTGGAAACCAGAATATGCTCAGAAAGGGGCAGCGTGGCCACACAACCAATTAATATTTCATTAGATCATTATACTCATGGTCTGGACTTCATCACGGCATCATTCAGTATTGTAGTAGTCTATAATCACCCTCGGATGTGCAAAGCCAAGAATGAGTTTAATGAAAAGAAAACTAATGTTTTAATCTGTTCTTAAATTGTTTCTTTGTGAGATCTTTATTGCAAAGCTGAACAAAAACAGCTGCCGGAGAAAAATTGGAGCAAAAGAAAAATATTCTGTTTCCATGATTTTGCTCTCAGAACTAGATCTTTCTAGAACAAACATACAAATAACAATGGCTTTATAAAACTATTTACTACACTTTAAGCCCCAACTGCATAAATTAAAAGAAGTTTATCAAAATAAAATCTTATTTGTCTTATTTTGTGGGTTTTTTTATTGCATTAAGTGATGGTTTGAGGAAATCTAAGTTAATATGTGTGTGTTTGGTGTTAAAGGTTTTTGTTCATTAAAACGTTTTGGTTTTGGTAAAGCAAATCAATATCATTCACTTAAGTTCTCAGTAGTCCTGATAAAAATGTATCTTCAAAAGATAAATATTGCATATTTAGGTTCTTTTTTACGTTTACGCCATGTCATTTTACTCTATGAAGGTTTAAATAAGCTGTAACCCTTTCAAGCGATGAATGTTATTTTATGGAAGTGTTGCTCCTTACACTGCCATCTAGCGGCCACTTCCTCAAAGTTCACACTTCATGCTTTGAGCCACCTTGCAAAATGTTAACAATTTCCCTGCTTTAATCTGAGAGCATCTAAATTAAGAAATTATTTCTGAAAACATGGGTATGACATTAAGAACCGTTTGGTGCTTGTAGAACTCATTTGGACAGAACCGTGTCTTCTATGAGGCTGAAGTATACAGAATGACATTTTTTTATATATATATATAATTTCTCTAGAAAATGAAGCTTTTTTTTCCTCCTCTGCTTTTCAATTCAAATTAAGCCTGGCAGAGAGTCGATTTTGTGTCTTGTGAACCAGTTTTATGTTGCTTTTTCCAAATAGTGTCATGTACATTTTTAAGGATATACACATCCTGTCCTGAACGGCTGAGTGCTGAGACCCATTTTCTGTCTTCTGATCTTCAATTGAAATCTCCAGGTATTTCAGAATCCATCAAGTTCTTTTAAACAAGGTTTCTAGTTTTTGAAAGAGAAACGGGCCCACAGCATCACTGATCCTACACCATGCTGAGCAGTTGCCATTAGATGCTTTTCTGTAGTGTTTTTATTAGTTTTAAACCAAACTCACCAGATGAAGGTGCTGAAAAGCAAATCAGAATCCCAGTGGTGCTTCGTGGGCTACACTCATCAATGGCTGTCCTGTAGGACGGGAAATTATTTTTGCCGGTGTTGCACCAAAGTCTGTCAGATATAATCATTACTATTGTCGACGTCCGATTGGATTTTATGCATTTATGAAGTCAACATCTGAGAAGCTTAATAATTTAATGTTTCTCTTACTCCTCTGATAGAAAGCTGTAAAATAAAATAAAAATCTGAGGTAAAAAAAATAAAAACCCTAAGAAAAACGTCCAAATACTGCCATCTAGTGGACAAAACAGGGATTGGCATCATTTTTCTAACCAACGTGAAGAAAGCAGCTTTAAAATAAGTGACAAATTAACTTCTTTCCACATTAAAAAAAAGATGTAACCATGTATGTTTTTGTTGTTTATTTCTTTCTTCAAGTTACAAGGGAAGCACATTTATTGACTCCTTTTTTTTTTGCCATTTAAAAATCGGGGGATATCTTGGCTTAAAAGTTCAAAATAAAAACATTCAGACAAATTAAAGGCGTCAAACATGTGTTGCATTAATAAAAAAAAAGGAAAGAAAAAAAAAAAAAAAAGAAACACAGCGATGAATCCTGATGGCATCCAAAGAGGCTGGACAGTGGTTCTCCATTTTTTTTGTTACTGTTTTTTGTTACTGTTGCATTTGAAGACATCATGTCCTAAGACTAACACCAACATGCAGTCTATTTGGTACAAAGGCTAACCAGAGGACAGTTTAATGAGATCTGATTAAATCACCTTCAAACAACACGGAATGGCCCTTTTTTTTTTTTTTTTTCTGGATCTGGACTTTCATTCCTGCTTTCCTGTCTGATCCGCAGTGCATTAAGAGCTCAGCACATTTAACAGCAACACCTTCACCGCTCTGTCGCCCACAGATGCATAAAGCTCAGCTGCACTAAACAAAGACCTTTTAAAGTTTTTATTTTTAGAGTTTGACCTTTTAGGGGAACGTTAGATAATTACATTTTTTGGTCCCGATATTTTTGGAAAAAACATGCTGCCGACGTCATGAGACGGTAAACGTGACCAATCTGAAACAAAGGGCGCTGCGACGGGACGCGTCTCCACGAGGGACGGGTGGGGGCAACGTCTCTTTGGAGGGGTTAATTCGGCAGATGAAGATGATTTAACGCTCCACAACTTTAACAGGAAAAGCATTTGTTTGTCATTATACAAGTATTAAACCATACATCATGATAGGATTCACCACCTGCAAAGAAACTAACTATCCCTACGCATGTCAGACACCTATGACAGTTCAACACAAGCAATAGGCAGAGTTAAGTTCAACAATAATCCCCACTGACCCCTTGACTGGTACTTCTGTGTCATGCCACAACACACAAAGACACTCAGAATGGCAAACACTTTCCTAAAACGGAGAGGAGGAGAAGAAGGAGGAGAAGAAGAAGAAGGCGGGTGCTAGAAAACAGAGGATATTGATTACGGAGCTCTCTCCCTGATTCCTGCTGAGTATCATCGGAGCAACACAACGCGTCAAAAGGATGAGATTCATGCACACGCTGATGCGCTTAGAAAGTGTGTGATGTGTCTGCATCTTTCTGCAGTCCTGGAACGACTGTCTGCAGCCTGCACACCGAAAACATGAGCCCACTGTGGCCAGCTGCTGCTTTTCAATCCTGTCGTAGCGGTGATTGTGATGATTGCAGCTCCTCGTAGGCGGCAGTGGGGGGAAAAAAAACAAGTTCTTATTTTTAAATCTCTTTTTTTTTTTTTAAGTCATCCAGCTCTGCCTTAAAGAGGAAATGATGGCAAAAGTAAAAAGGTGATGAAGATGTGTTGACGAGTGCCGTCCTGCGTCGGTTTTATAGTGCAGCGTGAAAATCCTGGGGTTGAGATCAGGTGAAATAAAGCAACACTTCATTCTGATCTCTCCGGATGATGAGGAAGAGCGCGGAGCTGATGGTGATGATTTCCTAAACATGACATCGTTGTTTTGTTTTTTTTGTTTTGTTTTTGTTTTCCATACTGCAAAACCTTGTGTAGCAATAAAAATCCTTGTGTTACTGTAAAAAATTGTCCCGTTTGTTTAAATACGAATATAGTACTGAGTTTCTGCTCTTTAGGAAACGATAGTCCGTTGTGAGGCGAAGGACGGTTCTGCCTTCACTACAACTCCATGTCCTGAGCCTCGTCCTCGGAAAAGTCCGACATGGAGCTCTCGGAGGAGGAGTCGCCTCCGCCCTCCTCCTGTTCCTTTAGAGCCTCCTCTGTGGCGTACTTCTGGATGTATTCTGGAAGAGACGAGCAGACAAATGAGTCCAAACCGACGTCCACAGCAGCAGCTTCACGTCTATCAGAAACAGAACGACCTCGTGCGCTTCGGGCGGGAGAACGTTACGCTGCCGTGACTCAAAGAAACTCTGCTTTGCAAAAAAAAAAACTCTCGTTCAAAACTTTCTGCTACTTTGTTTTGGTCCACCAGGTGTGAAGCTTTTACAAACCAAAGGTGATTAAATAAAACTCATTTAAAGGCACTAATGTTACATCACCTTTCGTGGAAAGGCGTAAAAATATTAGGACATATGTTAACATTTTTGAAAGAATTGCCATTTTATTTCTGTTTTTAGGTTTTTAAAAACCATGAAACAAAAAACAACAAAAAAGGATTAAGACATTTTCTTCAATGGGATGTTGATGTTTGTGGCAAATAATTTACACACAAAAAAAACAGCTTAAACATAATGTTGACAAAAAATGTTCCTGATACGTTAATGCAAGGTCTATTCCATACAAAAAAACTAAAACAGAACTGCTAAATCTGCATTTGTTATATCTATATTAAAATATTTAAATGTGGTTCTGCCATTGCGGAAGGACCAAAAAGACACTTGCTGCAGACTCCGAAAGCAGCCGATAAAACACGATAAACTTTATTGTTGGAGCGTTAGAGAATGTGGAAATATTCAAGAGATATGAATATGTGTGTAAAAGCGTTTAGCAGGCACAACAATACAAGTTACATCTAATCCAACAACAATTAAAATACGTGGCATCCTTTCACTGCGCAGACAAAGTCACCGTCTGCATCTCAGCGATCCAGTCCACACCATTCAGTTAAAATCAGATCAATAACTTTTGCTGTATGAAACTACAATTGCAGACATATTCGGGTATTGGTGTCGTACCTTTGATCTTGTGTTTGTAGTCCTCCGGCCGGTGCAGGTACATGGCAGCGGCGTCCCCGTTCAGGGGGTCGATGGGGTTGGGGTAGGCGAGCAGCTGAGGGAGGAAGGACTCGAAGATGTTGGTGAGATCTGAGAAAAGAGTGGAGAAACGTGTGAGAGCGGCATCAAAGTCAGGCACCAGGGGTCTCTCAGTTGCAACTAGGATATTCTGATTTTTTTTTTGTTTTATTAAAAACACAATCGGTTCCTTTTCTGAGCTCATTTCTGGATGGTTCTCCACTGACTTGGCAGAAATCCTCTTTCTTTGACTGGTGTTTAAGGGAAATGTTGCAGTTTAGTTTTAGCGCTGCTGTCTGTTGTGCAACAGAGCTGAGGAACTGGGGGGGAAAGACCAGACAGGAAGCTAACGAGACACGCAGGATTTGCTGCATCTTCTTCACAGCAGTCAGAGGCTTCATCACCCGCAGCTAAAAGGAAGCCAACCAGAAGGACAAATCTCATCCTGTTGGTATCATTAGACTCTCCAAGCTAACTACAAGATATTACCTTTCAACAATGAAGTTAAGACATAAAACGCTGTTTTTATGTTGTCAGTCCCGTGCTTATGGATATAAAACTCAAACATTTAATCCCTAATATATACTTTATTTATCTTTCAGGGCCAAAGCGCTCAGACGTATTGACACGTTTCAAAGTTTTGAACAGATCCCTGCTCGGCCATTACAAATAAACATGTGCGCTACAATAACTGTAAGATAATTTTTACCAATATAAGATCCATGTAACTTTCACTCGATGCAATGTAGAAACACACAGCAGCAGCCAGTGTAATTATTAACACAGCTTCTCCTGACTCTGCTGCTGTCCTGTCCTTGGATAACATTACAGAGCAGCTCTGGTGCCGTCTTATTTGAACATCCAAAGATTAATTTCAGCAGACAAAAATCAATCAAACTTTCAAAAGTCACATTTTTTTTCTTGTTTGAAGTACCTAAAGTCAATGGAACCAGTAAAAACTCTCCAGGAAAAGTGGACAGATTGCACATCTGACTATGGTGTCGCCACATCCCACTCTTCCCTGAATCTATATTGGAGATGCACAGCAGGAAAATATTTCCTCACTCTGTGGCTCTTCTCGTCTTTGCTTGCTGTGTTATTCTATTTAAAGTTGGTTTTTTTTACACAACAGTTAATTAGTATGGCAGATCAGCATTTATGTAAGAACTTGATATAAAAAAAACCCCAGAGTTTATGTTGTTTATGTGAAACCATCTCAGTGTGTGAATCAAGGAGAAATGGAGATCTGTTTCTTGAACATGAACTTAGCTGTCAGCCATAAACAAAACAAGCTCCATGCACAAATGGAAGACGTAAACATTCAATAGAAAAATCTACAGATTTTGTTATTCATAAGTAAAAACCTGAAGAATCAAAATACTTTTCCAATTCAAAGTGCTGCTGCTCTGATCTTATTACGGGAAACAAGGAGAACAATGAAACTGATCGGTAGCCATCGGCCGATTTCTGTGGCTGTTTCTGAACACAACGCTGAACTCATCGAGTTTGTCTTGAGTTTATTTAAACACAGGAGCACAGAAGAGTCCAACCGAATGGGAAACCCAGAGAAAAGTCTATGTGTCCACAACAGTCATCACCCAGTCATGCAGAAACTCCTACGCACAGTCTGCTTCTTCAGGTTAAACTGTCTAACAGAGCAGCCCAGTGAACTCCCACCTGTCTGAGTCGAGCTACAAGTTTATTATATTTTGTACTTTATAGCAAAGAAATTTAAGAAAATTACTTGTTTAGCTTATAACGGTGTAGCATATTTGTAGTTTCCAAGTTAAGCCAACTTAAATAAACATGTTTTTACTATGCAACATTCTTGTGGAAACAGCAAAAAAAAAAAAAAAAACTTTGCTCTCTACATTTATCTAAAAGTATCTGATCGACGACTCAGGAAATTAAGTGCTACCATCAAAACGAACTGTGAAACGTTTAATTAAACACCGATATATTTGCTTGCTCTGCAGATTTTGTCTGTCTGCTGACAGGAGTGTGTGTTCATACACACACACACACACACACGAGCGTACCTGACTCAGCGTGCTTCAGCAACGATGGCAGAGTCTGAAGTTTGTGTTTTCGTCTAGCTTTTGTCAAGCTAGCTTTTGGAAGTTAACAAAATGGATGACACTGACAGTGAACACATACAGTTGCTGCGTGCTGTGATGTCTTGAGGGGACAGGCGGTCTCACTGGCCCTCACCGAGTAGGGGAAACGATGGACCGTCCCCCTAGCGGGTTATGAACTGACTCACAGTCAACGCTGGACGTTTTGGGCCAGACTTTCTTTGACTAAAAACTACAAAGACACCAGACGGCAAAGGAACAAAATGACCTAAACCCAAACATGTCTTCCTCACTTGTTCAAGACTTTCTAATCTATCAGCTCTGAATGCTTGACCCGAATAAAAGCAGCAGTTATCACTGCAGTGTAAGCTGATTAAATAGAGGCACAGCGTAAAGCTCTACAGCAGAGGTCCGGTTTGAGCGCTTCACTCTGTGGTCGTTTTTAGGCCATGACCGTTAGTTTAGCCAAGTTTGGATCTTCAGCAGACGCCCCTGTGACCTACCGTAGAGAGCCGTCCACGTCTGGTTGATAACATCTAAACACACGGTTCCTGACCTGAGGAACACACACAGCAGCAGAGTAAGTGATGAAAAGTGAAATGATTGATCAAACATCTGTCACAACAAGTAGAAGCTAGCTCAACTTACGCTTCATCGATATTGGGATGAAAGATTTTGTTCATAAAACCTGAAAAAAAAGATTTTATTAAGATTCAAACAATCGCTCATTTATTCTCTCATTTTGTGTTTCCATCATATTACTATGATTTGATCATGACAAAATAAGAACTGTCTGGCCTACTTGTCACTAAGACGAGAAGTAAAACTTATCCGTACCTATTGACGGTGATTTGAACGGATATTTATCTGGCAGGTCCACCCGAACCTTCCACACGCCTCCTTCATACGGTGCTAAAAGATTAAATCAAATAAGTGTTCATTTTCAATAATTATGTCTTGAAAAACAATTCATAGTCCTTAAACTTTTTCACCTTTTGCTTCATTCAAACCAGAAACGTTTAAGTGTGGGATTATGGTATTTCATGCTGACCAACACATACATTATGAAGCACAAAGAAAACACCGCTAGACTGAGAGAAAGGAGAGCATTAATTAGTGAAGCAGCCAAGAGGAACATGCTAACTCCAGAGGAGCTGCAGAGGTAAATAATAATAATTATTATTATTATTATTATTATGTCAACTATTGGTCAACCATTGGGGAGGGAAATCTGGTCAGACTACATGGAGTTGGACACTGTTAGAGACTTAAAATTAGGATGGAGGTTCGACCCAAAACACGCAGTCAGATCTGCAATAGAACAGCTTAAAGCAAAAGAATATTAATGTGTTAGAACGGCCTAGTCAAAGTCCAGAGATTTGTTGGATTGGTCTAACACATAAAAATACATAGAAATTTAAGGTTTTAATGTAACAACATGTGAAAAAGTGGTGTGAATTTTGTTTTTTGTTTTTGTTTTTTGCGAGGCTCACAATGCTTACATAAAGTCTAAAAATGTCAAAGTTTACTAGGCTTTATGCAAATCTGGTAAAATACTGTGGTATGCTACTCAAGACAAACAGTATAGACTCTTACTTCCAGGGGGTCCGTGGAACTTGACCACAAACTCATTCAGTCCACTCAGGATAGTGACCTCGTGTTTACTCTCGATGCTGATTCCTGGTTAAAGAAAAACACGCCTCCGACATCCTACAGTGATCAAGAACCTCAGGAGGAAAGTTAAAACCCCGTCAAAGCTGCTTCATAACCGTCTCATAACCCCTCCACAAACCTGGCTGGGCAGAGGTCAAACGCTGGGTCAGTACCATCAGCTGCAACAATGAGATCAATAATTCGGAGGCCTCAATCAGATAAACTCAACCGGCAAACACAAACCTCAACAACAAAACAATTCTCATGGAAGACAAAAATCTTCAGCTGCACAGTAAAAGCAAAAACACAAAGAGGCAATAATGAGTCATTTAAGTCGACGAAAACGTCAAACCTTCTGGATGGCTAATAGTCACAGGATGTGGTGATAGCAAGAAGCATGAGGGTGAGTCAGCTGTCGAACAACAACACAGCGAGGTGGAGGTATTTAATCTCAATGGCTGGTTTGACTCTGAAGTAAGCCTTTCACCTCATTTCATCACTCTGTCAGAAAACTTTCAGTCGTTTATATTCCAACAGTCTAATCGGATCGGCGCTGGCGTGGCAGCTACAGTCGTTTAGCTTCTGGAGAGCAAACAACTCAAACTTCATATGAGCACAAAGAACCAGAATGACAAAGGTTTAAAGAAAATGGCAGCAAACCACAGACAGGAAGACTAAATGTGATCTAAGGCAACGGATCCTATAAATAAAACCTGATAGAGATGTACAACTCGTACTCTTCGCCCCTGAGGGTTACCCGTAGAAACTCAGGCAGCGCTCTTTCAGTTGGAGATGCACAAGAGGAAACCTGCTGGGTTGAAAGCTCACACTGCTCTTTAAATCCGCAAGTTAGCTCATACAATAATCTCATGTTTTTCTACTAATTATAATGACACAAGTCTGTTTCATCAGTTATCCCATTTAAAAGAAAGAAAGCAATCAAGCAGGTAAAAGGTTGTAGTTTTAGGTCTGCCTTCTTTTGTGTTTTGGTTTCTGTCAAGTGTGGGAGCGATGATGTCTAAAATCCATCAGATACCGAGAGAAAGATTCCCCTTCAGCTTATATTGCTACATTTTACTAACATTATTTTTATGCATTTCTTTTTTATTTTTACTGACACTTGCAGTAGGTCAGATTCTTTATTTTCCTAAGCACCTTAAATAAATGCATAAATAAACCTGCCTTGCCTGCAAGATGGTGTCTGT